GTCTTCCCTTAGCGACTGCATGAGCCTCTCCAGCCCGCGGGGGGGTGTCAGTGGGAGGGAGGGGCAGACGGACGCTCCCAGGCCCGGGAGGGGGGAGAGGGTGGGATTATCCGCCAAAGGGCACCCCCCCCTCCCTTCCCAAAGCGCCCCCGGTAGGGTGAAGAGCTCGCCCCTCTCTTCAGCAGCGGGACAGGGCGGGCAGCATCTCCCCCTGCAGCGGCATGTCTGCGCGAGGCTGGCGGAGCCGGGGCAGGGTGAGAAAGGGAAGTGGTTTCCCAAGCAGCTCACTCAGCCGGGGAGATAAAGCGAAGCAGATAGACAGGCAGGCAGGCACGGCCCCCCCTCCCCTCCCGTCGCGGCGAGGGCTCCATGTGCTGGTGTGAGGAGGTTAGTTAGCATGCGGAAGGGGGGGGGGGTGTGTGGAAAGCAGGCGGCTCGGTGCGCGGCGAGGAGGAGGAGGGGAGAGGAGAGGCTGGGCGCCCCAGCAGAAGCGGGGCTGTATCTGGGGGCAGCAGAAGAGCCAGCAGCCCCCATGGGCAGGGAGCGAGGGTGCAGGCGAGCGGAACGGGGACAGTGAGCGCACAAGACCCTGCCCTCCCAGGGTTCATTCCTGGCGGGTTTAGACTTGGCCGCTTTCCAGTCCTGCCCTGCAAGAGTTAGGACTGTCCACCTGCAGCTGAACCATCTGACAGGGGGGGGAAAGAGATTTGGAAATGGCTATTTCCAGGGCGTGGGGGAATTCGAATCAGATAACATACACACAGGCTATGTCTAGACTGCAAGCTTCTTTCGAAAGAGGCTCTTTCAAAAGATCGCGTCTAGACTGCCGGCGGATCTTTCGAAAGAGAAATCCGCTTTTTCGAAAGAGAGCACCCAGCGAGTCTGGATGCTCTCTTTCGAAGACGGCCTCTTTACATTGAAGAACGCCTTCTTTCGAAAGAGGGACTTTCGAAAGAAGGCGTTCTTCCTCGTAAATTGAGGTTTACCGCCATCGAAAGAAAAGCCGCGTTCTTTCGAAATAATTTCGAAAGAACGCGGCTTGAGTCTGGACGCAGGGGAAGTTTTTTCGGGAAAAGGCTACTTTTCCCGAAAAAACCCCTGAGTCTGGACACGGCCACAGTGTGTGCGCGCACATGCACACCACCTAGTTGCAATCCGTCTACATGGACTTCTCTTAACACACACAGAGCGGGAGGGAGCACAGAAAGGACTGTCTAGCGCTGCTAATGTATGCATGCATTGTAGATAAGGTATTGGGTAAAGCAAATCAACCCCAACATGCTGGGGCAAGTGGATTTTCTCTTTTCACCTTTCCCTAGCTGGGAAAAGAGAAGAGAGCAGTACAAAATGAAAGAGTGCAGCCAGGAGAGAAAGGGGAAACGGCTTCCCAGTGCATTGTGCTGGAGGATAGAATCATAAAAATGACATAGCAAGGCAGATCTGTTATGTCCCAGGAGTGGGGAATAAATAAGAGGAGAGAATCCATTGAAAGGTGTAAGGAAAATTGGGATTAAATAGTTTGTGAGCTGCTGCTGTCAGTTTTATCAGGCAGGAGAGGGATGCCTGTGTCCTAACTCAAACTGCACATATTGTACATGTCACACAACTCATTAGGCAACCAAAGCTGTCCCCTATGGAGTTAGAATTTTGCCATTGATTTCAATGGGAACAGTGTGATGAAGAAATTACACACAACAGGAACACCCAGATGTTTAGGAACCTGTTCTAGTCCTGACCTGGATCCCTCATTTGATGTTGGAACATGTAGAAATCAAAGTTATGATACTATGGAGAGGCTGGCCCACCAAATTCAGAACCAAAGAGGGACTATGGGCATGCTTGGAATAAGCCTACACGGAACTATTTCCCTAGATATCATTACCGCCTTTACTTTTTTTTTTAAATAGAAAGTAAATGAATGCAAAGCTCTGTGGGCCAGACAGGCAATTAATTACTGCAGTCCCAGAGCTGTGAACATGCTAAATATGCAGTTGCCTTTGCAAATGTGCAGATAGTAACAGATGTTTGCAAAAAAAAACCCAAAAAACCACCACAACAAAAAAACCCTCCCCCCCAAAAAAAACCAAAACAAAAGCACCCAAAAAACCACAACAACAAAAAACCCCTCCCCCCCCAAAAAGCCAAAACAAAAGCTTAAAAATCTTTTAAAACAGATCTTTGCACAGTATTTTTCAGTGTGGAAGGCAACAAATGCTAATGGCAGCTATCAACTGCTTGATTAAGTCTTCAAAAAAAAAAAAAAAAGTGCCCGGATTTAACAATGTGAGCCAGCATGTATTAAATGCAAATTAGAAAACAAGCATGTATTAACAGTAACAAATTCACCAAAGAAGTGGGTTGTGTCCAGGAAAGCTCATGATACCATCTATATATTTTATTAGTCTCTAAGGTGCCACTCATTTTTCAAAGTTACAGACTAACACAGCTACCCCTCTAGACTTAGTAACAAATAAAAACATCCTGGCAGTAAAGCTGCAGTAGAGCAAAGATGTCTTCTTTTTTAAAGCATGAATCTCTCAAGCAGACACTGTTGAACCAGAACGAGTTTAATCTTGGGTCAGGTGTGAAAGAACTAGGGACAGTTTGATGCCTAGTATAAAACTTGTAGCATCCCTCTAATAATAACTAATCATTTTATCGTGTCCCGATGCCCCTCCAACAGGGACCCTTGCTGTGCTAGGCACTGTAGAGACACACAGCGAAACACAGAGCCTGCCCTGAAGACATTACAGTCTTGTTTAAGACAAGACACAACAAGTGAGTGTAACAAGTAGAAAAGGTGTGGAGTGGAAATGAGAACATGCATTTCCATAAGCCAGCTGTGCACATGGCAGGGTGGGTTCCAGTCAGATCATTTAAAACCATTACAAAGGTACATGTAAATACATAACTAAGGCAACCATCAGAAGTCCTGATTGACCCCTATCTACAATTAACTTTAGGCATCACCAGAGGAGTTGACACCTTCTGCTTCAAGTGGGAAGTGCATTTCTTTGACCTTGTCTTCTCTAACATAAATAGAGAGGAAGATATATATGTAAATTAAAAACATCTCAACATAGCAAAACAAGTCATTTCCCTGCACATTCATCTCTTCTTGGGGAGAGGATGAGAAAACAAACCACATGTGACAATGGCCTCTCTTAATTTTTTCCATCCATGTGTGGAATAACTTTTACTATGTGCACCAAGGTATGTGTGGATGTGCACCAGCAGTAGAAATGCATGCTGGCTGTGGATACCGTGGGTGCTCTCCTAATCTTTGAGTGGCACCTGAATCGCTCTTGGGTGTCTGCCCACGCACTCAGCTTACAGGGAACACCAGTGACAGATATGTAGTCACACTGCTGAATGCGCTACTGCAGATGTGGCCAGTCCGAGCCTGAGAAGGTGCCACCATTTACCAATGTACATCGCCAAAGAGCTACAGTCATTTGTCAGCAGTCTCCATCAGGTGCCTTCTCTCCCGTCTTCAGTATCTTTTGCTCACCAACAGCCCCACCAATCAGTGCTTCCTCTTCCTTCCCCGCGCCTCCTGCCTACTGCAATCAGCTGTTTCATGGCTCTCAGGAGTCTCTGTGGGGAAGGGAAGGAGCGAGCCTGCAATATGCTTGGAGGAGGAGGTGGAGCCAGGAGTTGAGCACTGGAAAGTTGGCACCAGCTGCTGCAGCCCCAGAGTCAGTGCCTGAGCAAGGAGCCGCATATGAACTTCAGAAAAGCCACAGGTTGGCCACCCCTGCGCTACTGGAAGAGGCTCAGATTGATGAGTGCAGTATAAGGACTGACATAGCATAGGCTAGAATCACAGTCCAAGTCTTCTGTAAGGTCCTTTGCTTAGTGGACTTGGGTCTTCCTGTCTCTGAATCATGCTTCCTCCCCACTACTCCCAAACACATCTGCAGGGATCAACACAGGTCTGTTGTAGCTGGTAGTTTGTGGTGTGAGAATCTCTGGGTATGTCTACACAGCAGGGCAAAAGTTGAATTAAGCTACGCAACTTCAGTTACGTCAATTGTGTAACTGAAGTTAAAATAGCTTACTTCGGCTTTAGGTGCTGTCTACACTGCAGGAAGTTGAAGGAAAACCACTCTTACTTCAACTTCCCTTACGCCTCGTGAAATGCAGGTTGCAGGAGTCGGAGTAAGAAGTCCTCCAGCTTGACATTATTTTGAAATAATGGCTTGCTGTGTAGACGCACACTTTGTTATTTCTGAACAATGTCAGTTATTCTGAAATAACGCTGCCGTGTAGACGTACCCTCAGAGAGCAGATGTTTTCATTAGGAAGGGCCTCTGCTGAAGAATTCAGGATCCATACCTTGGTCTTTTCTATAGTGCCTATCATTGAAATACCTAAGTGCGGACGAGCTTGAGTCTTGCTATTTCGAGGGCACCGTCCAAGATTCATGTCTTTGCACTGATGACAGTGACTGTCAAACAGTTCAGCAGCCACTTTCTCTTGGAAACCCGTCACCGGGTAGGACCCTGTGGAGGAAGTGACATAAGTTAATGGAAGGATGGAGCGTCTGATCCATTGCATTATATACAGGCAGTCCCCGGGTTACATGGATCCGACTTACATCGGATCCCTACTTACAAACGGGGTGAGGCAAACCCGCACTAGCTGCTTACCCACAAATTCAACTTAAGAACAAAACTACAGTCCCTATCTTGTACGTAACCCAGGGACTGCCTGTACATGGTGCCTCCATTCTGTGGATTAGACATGCATTGATCAGACAGATCAGAGAGAGCAACACGCTTTGCCTGTCTTGTTTTCCTACTGCTGCATGGGAGCCTACTGCAAAAGCTACACACGAAATGGGTGTATAAATGAAAGACTCCTCCAGACCACACAAAGGGACTAGGTCAGAGCTAACAAGGAATTGCACCAAGGAGAAAACGAAAGACTCCTCCATACCACACAAAGGGACTAACAAAGAGCTAACAAGGAATTGCACCAAGGAGGGTAAATAGCAAGCTCGCAAAGGTGAAAGATTCACAGAAGATGTGAGCTATGAAAGAAGCCCAAAGTTCCTCCATGATTTTAGTGTAGTAGAGAGGCGGGTAGCATACTTGTCTAGACCCTCAGGCATTTGAAAAAGATACTGTCAGGGAATATAGGCCAATCTAATCACAGTAGAAATATTTGCATGGTGTTGGTTTTTTGGTTTGTTTTCCCAACAATTCAGTAAAGGCTATTTTCTTTACAGAGATGCGTCCTCCCTTCCTACACCCCATATTACTGCAAATGCAGACACTGCAGTAGCTCACTATGCAAGGGCTGGAAAGGGCATCAAACACACCAGCCACA